TCACTTGGTAGCCCAGGCTGGCCTCGAACTCACAGAGATCTGCCTGGCTCTGCCTCCCGAGTGCTGGGATTAAAGGCATGCGCCACCAACGCCCGGCTCGACTGAGCTTTTTACCACTATGTAGAAAGGGTGTTGCTCCCTTACTTTTCCCATAACACTTCACTCACTTCCATCTCCATCCATAGTTCACGCTCATGTTTGTATCCACAGTCTGTTCCTGATGGTTTATGTATGTTCTCAAACATGGCGGGTTTTTATTCCACCATGATTCTTACCTGAGATCTCTACCAATATTCACATTTGTATTTCTGTTGAAACGGTGAGTAACAAAATCAAGGCTTTCCAAAAGCTGACTTTCCCAAGTGCATCCAGCCTGTGCTCTTGCACAGCTCAGAAGACACAGTTTTAGGTATTTGTTCAGTTACTGTTCACTGCCCACACTATCAAAATGCTCTGTGAATTTCCTGTTTGTTGCCATAACGAAGAACTCCTAATCGTGCTTTAAGAGGCCCGGGGTTGCTAACTTACAAAAATGTGAACTGGATTTGACTAGACTGAGACCAGGGTGACAAAGGGGCTGCTTTCCTTTCTGGGCAATCTAAGGTAAAATAATCTCCCCTTATTCCTCTATAGGGGCAGCAAGCATTCTGAGTCCCTTCCATCCTCAGGGCTGGAAACTGCGCGTAAAGCCTTTCTCCCACGGTTTCATTCCAATAGCCTGACTCTGACACTGACCTTCCTGTTGCCTGTCTTTTATAAAGATCCTTATAATTACACTAGGTCCATACAGATATTGTGGTAGAATTTCATTTGCATCCTTTGTTTCCCTTTCATTTTATTTTTATTTTTACAATAAAATCACTCCCATGGTCTTTTGTGGTTCAACAAGAGAAACTAGAGAAACCATAGAAATCCTGGGAGATTTAACAGTGCATTTTCAAATAAATAGTGGATCACAAGAAATTAGAGAGGAAATTTAAAAATCCCAGAGCCAAATGAAAATGAAAATATAACCTAACTGAATCTCTGGGACACAGCCAATGCAGTACTGAGTGGAACCTTAATAGCTATAAGTGCTCGAGGGCGGGGGGAGAGAGAGAGAGAGAGAGAGAGAGAGAGAGAGAGAGAGAGAGAGAGAGAGAGAGAGAATTAGAAATTTAAAATAAACAACCTAATGATACAGCTCAAGGCTCTTCAAAGGCAACAAGAAAGCAACCCCAACCCAGAAGATGACAAAAAATAACAGATTAGGGAAGAAATTAATGAAACAGAGACTAAAACAACAACACCAGAAATCAACCAGACAAGAGTTGGTTCTTTGTAAAAGTTCACATGTTTGGCAAACGTTAGCCAGCCTGTCAAGAAAGAGGAAGAAGACACACAGCATCAAAATTAAAGATGAAAAGGGGGTTCTTATAAGAGAATCCAGCGAAGTGCAGAAACTCATGAGGGGATATTTTGAAAACTTAAACTCCAAAAAGCCTAGAAGAAATTGCAAATTTTTTAAATGCTTATGATCTATCAAAATCAAAGCCAGAAGATATAAATAATTATAATAGGCCCATACAGACATTGAAATTGAAACTAATGAAGTTTCCTCTTACAAGAAAGCCCAGGACCAGATAGATTCACTGCTGGGCTCTATAAACCTTTCTTCTTTTAAATCTTCATGCTTTTTCATTAAAACTTCACTATAAAGAATTTGAAAAAAAAATGCAGCAAAATTAACCAAACCAAGAGTCCTCATAACAAACTGTTCTATGGTGAGAATAGACAGTTGAAACTGAAGCTTCACACTGGATCTTAACCTTTCACCTTCAGATATGTCTTTATGTACTTTTTGCGTGTAATGGGTCTATTTACATTATTTACACTTTCTGCAAGGGCCCAAGAGGTTACAGAGGGCTTGCTTTGCACTGAGACCCTGCTAGCATTTCTGTTAAATGGTTGTGACTTCCCTATTCTCCACAGAACGAAGAGAAGTGGGTTTTAGTGCTTGCCACCCATGTGTCAGAACAGACCTGAAGGTGCAGGAATTCAAATGTCCCTTATGGGCTCAGCTCAGCAGGCAGGCAGTGTGTCTGAAAGGAGAGGGCGTGGCAAAGAGTGATGTCAGTGTAAGGTGGCCTCAAGAGTCTTCACATGACCCTCACAGCACAGGGGAGACACTGTCCTGTGCCCTCTGCACTTGCCTCCACTTTTCTTTACTCACGTTTAACTTCTACCCGGTGGTGTCTGTCCTATTCCCTGGCCACCGTAGCCCTACCTTCCCACCTGCTCATGGGCCTTCGTTCAGGGTCCTCTGCTAGTACCCAGCTGGCCCTTCCCCAACATCATCCTTTTCCAAACATGAGGGACTCTTCAGGAGCCAGCACTGACACCATCCTTTCAGAACTATTTTATCCACCACAGCAATGCTCCCCTTCCTCTGAACGATCACATAATTTGATTACTTTAAAACTAATAGGGCCGGATCCTCTTTATTATGAGATCTATTTTTGTAACCTTCTCGGTCTTAAGCTCAAAGTAGTCTGAGGATAGATTTTTCTACTGATCTAAGAGGGTTAATTTGGGAGTAAGAGAAGTTTATGACATGACAAGAGAACAATAAAGCCTGAACTGTCAACCAGCAAAGGAGCTATGTGGGTTAGCTGGATCTTTTTATAAAATATATATATTTTATAATATATATATATATCTTTATTTTTACATACATTGGTGTTTTGCCTGCATATCTGTCTATGTAAGGATGCCAGATCCCCTGGAAATTGAGTTACATACAGTAGTGAGCTGTCATGTGGGTGTTGGGATTGAACTTAGGTCCTCTTGAAGAGCAGCCAGTGCTCTTAACTATCTCTCCATCCGGGGTTAGCTGGATCTTAAGGCTAAAATTTCCCTGGTTCCTGTAGCTGTGCTGGCATTTCTGTCTAATTCTGTTTCTTCCCACTTCCATCCTTTCTTTATGCCGATTCTTACTGATGTTTACTATGTAATAGGCAAAACGGAGAGCCTCAGTGGGACCAAAGTAGATGGTGAGTCAGGCAGCAGAAATGTCAAGAGACACTCAGGAACTATTTGTCTCAGACTTTTTGTAGCTGAAGGATTGAGAAGACACCAGGAGTAATTGGATAGTGTGTGTGGTGTGTGTGTGTGTGCATGTGCGCATGCGAATGATTTTTAAAAAAATACAAGAACAGCTTTGCACACAGATGTGTATTAATAGAAATTAGAACCGTGTAGTGAACCAAATAGAGGCAAGACCTTAGTCAAAAAAAAAAAAAAAATTACATTTCTGTGACCACAAAATTATCTTCGCAAGGAGTAGATCGGCCTGAAACCCAAAAACCGGGCCACCAAAGTCAACCAAAGAGAGAGAAACTTTCCCACAAAAGAGTTGGGAGTTTGGAATTAGGGAAACTACAGTGGTTCTGTACCAGCATGCAGTAGAGAAGATGTTTTCGTTTTGTTTTTAATGTGCCAACTTTTCCTAGAGTCTCTCCTTTGTTTTCTCTTCCTTGTAGCCTACCCTGATGTGTGTGTCTGGCTTTAGTGGTTTGGAGGCTGGCGATTGGGCGGGGAGCAGGACTCAGTTCTCCAGCTGAGCCTGGGAGGAGTGGGAGGGACTCCGGAGCAGCAGCGCGTTTCTCACACCCGCAGCCTTCCAGGCAGTCTTCCTCCAGTGTCTGCCAGCCAGACCCCAAGACAGAGCACAGCAGTGCACAGCCTGGGGACTCAGCCGAGCTAGGACACCTGCAGCCCGGTGCCCCGGTGGCCCTGACCTCGCATGACCGCACGATGGTGAGTTTGCGCCGTGACTCGCTTTTCTAGTGTTTTGGGCTGGAGAAGGGGAAGGGGCATGCTACCGAGACGAGACGTGGAAAGAAGTCCTGTGCTGTAGGGACACAGGGAAGGGAAACAGGAGAATCCTTTGGGTCATGACAGGGAGAAACAAAAGCTAGAAGTAACTGTTTCGAGTAACGTGGGCAACGGGCGCTGGGGGTGTTCCGTGCGTCCCGCCGCGCCCTTAGGGTAGGTGGACAGAAGGCATTTGCTGTGTTCGGCGTGGCGGTGAGTGCCCACGGTGAACCGACAGGTGTGACTCCAGCGTCACCTCTCTGTCCACCGCCAGCGCCGCCGCCCTCCATCTATGATCCAGTGCGGTTGTGCTGTGCGGGTGTGCTCTGCAGCTGCGGGAGGTCACGAACCTCGGTCCCCAGGTCTGGAAGCCACTGAGTAAGTGATCGCGGTGCCCTCCCGGGCCCAGTGCTCACAGGGCAGGCGGCCCTGTGCTGAGCCTTGGCCGAATCTTTTCCCACGCCCTCCCGGGGTCCTGCCCAGCCCTGGGAAGCAAAATCACGGTTCCCACGCTGGGGAGAAACGAGGAAGGGGCTCCCAGGGCGTGATCGTGGTCCACCGGAGCAGCTCAGGCTGGGCTCTGGGGCTACTCAGTGGGGAAGTGCAAGGTGTGGGCGACTGTCTCCCACGAGCTGTCAGTCCTGAGAAGCTGTGTGGCCTCCCTCAACCAGTAGCAACGCAGGGACCAGGGACGCTGGGACCTACAGCCTCCAGCTTGTGGCCTCATCTGGGCTTTCCTCCTCCAGGGTGGGAAAGCAGCTCAAATCCCTAGAGAATGCAAACTGCAAACTTCCAGAGGCTGCTGGGGCCGCAGCAAAGTGTGCCTGCATGCAGGGTGCGAGAGAGGGACTGCTCATTAGCAGCCTTTCTCTTGTTATAATGACTGTAACACGTTGGAAGGCAATATCCAGGCTATCCAGGCGTCACAACAGTCTCCTGGGCCTAGCTGAGTGGACAGCCTGTCCCGGGTGCTAAGAGCTGCCTTTAAGTGACTTCTGTGTGTGTTGGGCTGCCTCTAAGTGTGTTCACGTGATTCTAGGGTACTGGTTTCCTGAACCTTTTTCCCCCCTCTGGGGTTCACATAGTCGTCCCTTCGTTTTAAATTTGATAAACAGTTTACATCTTCTGAAGTAAGCCAGAGAGTTGTCCAGCTCACTTAAGTGGTTGGATGTATCTTGGCTTCCAACATATTGAAACCTTGCTGGGTTTAAAGGAATATAGATTACCTCTATTTACATTTTCATAGTGGTTTCTTAGGATCAGCTCTCCAACAATGATTCTTGGTAGGAGCAGCGTTCACCTTCCTGTTGCATGCTTGTTGAGGCACTTAAAGATAAGCAGTTTTGTGTCTCAGTTCATCGTAATGTAGGCACAATCTGCTGTTTTATCCTAAACTGGAGATGCTGTTTTTCTTCAGAAAGGATCACATAGGGTACTTTATTGTCAAGAGCGGTGATAATCAAAAGAGGCAGAAGATGACACCATGAAACTGTCTAGAGTTCTGAAGCAACAAGAGTATGCTGCTTTTGTTCAGTTATTAAATGGTCGGGTATATGATCTATTTTAGGGATCTCGTAGTCTCAGAAGTTATAACGAAATATTTGAGCTGTTGCATTTTTAGGGAGATAGAATGAACTCCTCAAATGTACAGAGATATTTGCAACCAAATAGGAAAATGAGGACCGGCGGTTGGTCAAACATTTTCTGGTCCAAACCCTAGCCTTTGTACATGAAGTGTGCAGACACAGACCAGCAGAAGATTTCAGAACAGTGCTGCAATACTTAAACAGTTCAACTACTGGTGAGGTGGGGGCGAGGGGTGGGGGGAAGGAATCTGTATACACTACCTGGGGAAATGTAAACTTGGGAAGCTACTATGGAAATCAGGATGGAGGTTCCTCAAAATATTTAAAAATAGAAATAGCCTCATGATTGAGCTATATATACTGTATATATAGTTCGGGTATATACAGGAAAGATTTTGTGTCAGCACAACACAGAGACAGTTACTCAGAGATATTTACTAGACACAGTAGCCAAGATATGGAACCAGTCTAGTGCCCAGCAACAAGTGAATGGATAAAGACAATGTGGGAGTATCTATGATGGATACATGCATATTTATTCCTCTATACCTAGGAATAAAATCTTGACATTTGCAGGGAAATGGGTGGAACTGAACATCATTCATAGAGAAATAAAACAGACAAAAGACATTTTCTCTAGTATATAAAAACTAGAGTTATATGTATGTATGTATGTATATATTTATATATGAAGCTCTCTGCATATGAAAGAACTATGAGAAGGGAGTAAGTGAGCCAAAGAGAGGGGGGATAAGGACAAGGAAGGGCAACTGGGTCTATAAAATATGAAAACACATGGGGAAAAAGAAGACAAGCAGGACGGGGAAGGCAGGGGGGCAAATCAACACAACGCAGAGCAGAGCAATTCACATACATGAAAATGTCACAATCAAATCTTTGTATCCTAAATAAAACACACTAACAAAAGAAGAAAGGTCCATATAAAACAGACTCAAGTACATCATTATCGGTATCACTGGCTAAGATGAGTTCTGTGAAGTTTACTTAGTAGAAGTCTGTAATGCATGGATGGGTGGATTTTGTTTCTATTTGCACGGTTGGATCTTTTCAGCTTATCACAGAAAATCAAATACTTTTCTCTCACTGAAATCAAACTGAAATATCATGTAGCTTTCCTTGGTATCGTGTCCCATGAGGCACGACATGTCAACAGCCCCAGACAGACCCCCATTATACATGTTCAGGTATAATACGTGATTATCTTCTGCCGTTTGGGAATGAGGAAAGAAATGTGAAGTTATGATTTATATCCAGCAATAGGAAAGAATTCATAATATTTAGTGCTGGTGTCTCATAACTATGGCTTATTAGATAATCCTGTTTCAAGACATTCTGGAAAGTTGCTTTAATTCATAGACTTCATAACAAGCTTAAGTAATGACACTAAGATTATGCTGTTATGAGTAATGTATCAGTAGAATACTTAGAGTATTAAAATTACAATAATTTGTCATAGATATCTTTAGACTTAAAAAAAATAACCTCTTTCACTGAACAATTAAAACCATGTAACATGGATTGTGGATGTAACATGGATGTAACACCTGGAGCATGTTTTCTTCCCTTTCTGGTTCAAACATGTTTGAAAACCATGTAACATTGGATTGTGTCAGAAACAGTGAAAGAAACATGAATTCTCTTATATTCTAGCACTAGTGAGTGTGTGTATAGGGGAGGGAAAATATTGATTTTGTTTAAAAGTTGCTTTAAGATAGCATGATAGGTTCCCCATGTCTCTAGTGAATCTTTAAAAAACAAACACCAAATTAACTTTAGGAACGAGTCCCGTGAAGTGAGAGGAACTGGAAAGGCAGAGCAATACGTCGATCAAACAAGCCCAAATCTGTTATTGATGGGAGGAAAATTGCAGGAAGTGGTGTAGTGGAATTGCTTTAGAAGTCAGGTTCACAAGGAAGTTGTTTGCTTTCCTTGCTTTGAGAGGATATTCAATTTTTATGGAACTATTTTTATGCTACTTGATTAGAACTATTTACCTAAGAGACTTTCCCTGTACATCCTATTCATTACATTTCTACACATTTGTAGAAGGAAATGTCTCTTTCTAAAACACCCGTAATGATGGCAATTGTCCTTTCCAGGCCATCTAGGTCTACCCTCAGGCCAGTGGTTTCCTTAGCAGTCACCATCTTACCCTGGCACAAAAGTGTTCAATAATCTGGAGTGCTTTTGATGATTCAGTGCCTTTGAATCAGTCGACTTATTGGAAGCCAGGACACTTTCTTGTCCATCCTGTATTGTACCTGATTACTTATTTTCTTTACAATTTCTGATTTCACTTATTTATTTTGTGGGTGTGTGTAGACACGTGTGTGTATGCACGTGCCATGGCATACACGTGCAGGTTAGAGGATAGCTTTCAGATGCCTGCTGTCCTGCTGTGTGTGTCCGAGAGGACAAACTCAGGACCTCAGTTGTTGTGTCAAGAGACTTTACCCATTGAGCCATCCCATGAGCTCCTTTTTTCTTTTATCTTTCTTCAAAATACTTTTGAAATACTTTACCTATTTTGTATATATAGGTCAGTAGGCATCCACTTCCTCTAGCTCAGAGTGCTTACAGAAAACAAATACAAATGTTGGGAGGAGGGTGTGTGTAAAAAGAGCTTGGGGCCAGGTGTGCCCTCATCATACAATGAGAGAATACTTTTTATTAAAACTGCAGAGGCTCTCGGGCCTGATTTCTCTGCCCCAGAAATACAACGGTTGGTGCCCGTGGTTACTATATTTCCTTGCCCAGCATGCTTGCCAGTTAGTATTAATCTTTTCTTAAAGCAAACTTTTCTTTATATAAAATAGAAGCCAGAGCTAACTCATGTACCAACTACTCCCACATAGTAAGGATTAGCAAGAAGTCAACCAGGAGAGGGTGGCTGATAGGAAGCTAGGTAAACTCCCATATTAACCCTCCTGGCCACCGTAGTTTGTAGCCCTTTCCATTCTGCCACATGACACTGAGGGTGTCTGTTTCAATGTCTGCATTTCTGGCCAAGCTCAGTTCTCTGCTGTTGGATTTGCAACGCCTTGCAGGCTGCACAATAGGTGTCTAGTGAGCTACACCTTGATGGTACTGAGTTGAGGCAGTTTGTGTCTGATGCCATAGGTTATTTTATTCACAAACACCACACAAAGCACAGCGCTTGTTTGGGGAGCACTCCTGTGAATTGTCAGAAGCATGGCCATGCTGATGTCCTTCTGTGCCTTTTATATAGGCTCTTTGCCTCTTCAGAAGTGCCTGATGTGGCACTGCTGGCACCAATAGCACTTTCAGCCGGCGTACTTCTTACCCATCCCCGTTGTCAGCACGCACTGACCTTCT